CTGCTCTCCAAAACAGCAGCAGAAACGGCCACCTCCCATATGCATGGTGATGTTGGAGAGACACCATTCTGTTTAATTTAGCATTGAAAAGTCCACTCCCTTCACTGAGGTGTATGAAAACTAACTTGCTCTATGCCAAGGTTTGTTTCATTGGAGAAAACCACCTCTACAAATCACCTCCCCAACATACAAAAACAAAATCCCCAAAATTGAGATATTAAAATGAACCATATTCTTGAAAATCTCCTTTTTCCTCCAGTCACAAAATGGGGCTGGCAATACTTACATGCCTCTGGGAAGCCCTTTGGGTAAGAAAATCCTCATGGCATGCAAGACCTTTAAAAAGAGCATTATTTGCCCAGTGATTTGGTTTTATTGTTCTGGTATTTAAAAAAAAAAAAAAATCTCTACACAAATTTTGGAACATTACACTGAGTTTATTTTGAAAAAGAAATCAAAGAATGTTTTTTTCATCTCTGAGCCAGATGGAAAGAAAAAACAAACGTATTCCACCCGAAGAAAGAAAACACATGAGAACTTTCAAAAATTTTTTTAGCCAAGTTTTTTTTTTTTTAATTTATTTTTTTTTTCACTAAACAGCATGGAAAAAGTGAGGTGGAGATGGTGAATGAAAAAACAGGCTCTGGTTTTAGGCAGGCCTGGTTTCTGGGGAACGAGGGTTTTGTCCGTAAGGCACTGTGCTTTCCCATCTGTAGATACCCAAACTACTGCTGAGTGAGTGTGGGTAAGCACCGGGAGCCCTACAGCGGCCTCCTCCTCCTGCTCCTGCCAGGACCCTGGGAAGAGTGAGGCGTCCCAGCGGGGAAGAGTGCCAGGGATGGGCGGCTGTCCTGCTGCCCGTCCCTCACCAATGCGAGCCCCAACGCCTGCAGAGCCTGCTCCAGGGGCAGCTGGGCGTTCATGGAGGAGCAGACATCTCCAGGGTGTACAGACACCCGCAGAAGTGATGGGGAAAAAAGCAAAGCGAGTTCAGAGGCTGGGGCTGGAGACATTTTGTTCTCTTTGGATGCTACATCTGCGTGAGCTGCTGTGCTTTTAACCAAGGAAGCTGCACTGGGGAAAAGTGCTTTTGTTTTCTTACACATGAGTCGACTCGGCTGCCTTTCCCCTACTCGCTGCGGAGCAGTTTCCTCCGACAGCCAGCGGCCACCCTCCGACCAGCTCCTCGCCTTGCCAGTGATCAAAGACCAGTTCCTGCTACTTGCTAAAAACAGAGGAGCTACTTGCCAGGAACAGAAAATTAAAAGAGGAGGTCAGCCATCTGAGAGAGAGAAACAGCAAGACCAGATTAGCCATTATGAACAGCCGATTTAAGCTAGACACAATAACGGCTAATCTAGGGACTGATCCTGCTCTGCTCGAGTCAAGACATCCTTCACTTGGGGGCCCACCTGAGGTGATCTGTGTGCTTCTGCTAGGACAGTGAACAGCAAGAGGGAATTCTTGCTTCTTAAGATGTTCTTAAAGGTCTTGTTCAGCTCAGACCTTTAAAACCAAGTTTCTACCACCCAGGTGCTGCAAGAACAATACACTAAAACCGCAATTAAGGGATAAAACAGCCACAGTCATGCTTAGAACTAGGACGGTGTAAGTGAGAAGAAAGGTTTTAATGAAAATAATTTTAATCAGTTTGATTTTTAATACCTACAAATGCTTCTGGCTCCACATCTGTCTATCTCCACACCTCTCTTGGTTACACAAGCACACACAGAGCAAACAACATTCACTTCCATGTCTCTGCTTAGTGCTTCCTTTATTGGAACATTTGCAGGTATTATTTATAGACACCAAAGGGGATAAGAGTTTGAGATTTATACGCTCTAATCAGCTGAAGGTGTTTCCAAATAAATTAATGAAAGAAGTCAGGAATGACATAAAGAAATCCAGTGCTGGATGTAAATCACAATGACTTTGCACCATCTCTGCCTTCCTCTCCCCTTCCTGCAACAGTCCCAGTGCTTGCCAGGGTATATGAACTTGCATTTAGTTTGATGTAAAACAAGAAAAAGGATGATGGAAATGTATACTCAGTATACCAAGTTACAGTATTTGTGCATAAGAAGGAAAGCCAAAAACTCGAGCTGGGACCAAATAATTTCCTATCACTTGAAACTTTCCATACAACCTGCGTTATCGCTCAAACCACAGAGAAAGCAGATTTAATGGGGATGTTTTCCAGACCCTGTGTGGCAGCTCTGACTTTCATGACAATTTCTTGGCCCTTTCTGGTGTCCTGCTTGCATCCCCTGCCAATCTCTCCTTTCTGTGACGGGTTCCTGAGCTGTCTTAACACTCTCTCGATCCTCCCAGTGATTTCAATCTTTGTTGCCATTTGACACCTCTGTTTCCCTCCTGCAGGAATACTGGGTCAGAAGGACAGTCTGTCTCAGCCCGCCTGGCTGCTCAGGCCAGATTTTAAGGGTGGCTGAACACACCAGGCATGCAACTGCAGCATCCCTCCCCAGCCAGTCTTGCCTAACAGCTACACTCTTTGCTTCAAACGTGTGAACGGAGAGCTTGAGCCCAGGCACGTTTCGTTTCTCGGTTAAAGGTGGATAATTAGAGCATTATTACAGCTAATTACAATCCAGCAGTGAAATTCACTTTGAAATGAGTAATTCATAAACATGTTGCATCCTTAAACTGTCCTAGTTCAATGGTTAGTTCCACGCTAAGGCCACCCAACTGCCCGTAGTTTAGCATAGCTGCTGTGCCAGTTTTCAACGAGCTAACCAGCCATCGCTGATAAACAGCCATTTCTGTAACCTTAGGCAGGCGTAAGTGCAGCTATAGCTGTTGATCACCACTGCGCAGAAAACCCCTTTAGAGGGAGTGGAGGACACTGGGCGACTCTTGGATCATCTCATCTCGATATGTACCATCACTCTATTGCTGAAGGAAGAGAAGGATGAGAGCAGGGCGAGGAAACAGTACAGCTGGTGCTGACACAGAGGCTTCTCATGAACTTCTTTTGTGGACAGCAGTCTATCACGTCAGTAAAAAGCAGGAAGAATGTAATTTATAGTGGGAGATGCTCAGAATGGGCTTATGTCACCTAAATAAGCCGACATTCAGAACAAAGGCAGCAGTGCTTCTAACTCAGTGTGGCTCCGCAAAGCTCCACTCACCAGGGTTTGAGAGGCTCCCTGGGCGTGCAAAGTAGTAGTTTTGTACCTTGTTATCCAAAAATAGCAGTTTAACATTATCTCCACAGACAACTGTGTAAATATATATGTAAACACTACAGTGTCTATCTACACGCAACTCACAGGTACAGCATGACAGGGTGTATGGCAGAATCATGTTGTATTCAAAACCTGATGAAAAAGCCAAAAGAAAAGTCTCAGGAAATCCAAAATGTCTGGAGAAAAGCTCTGCCTCCAAGATGGCGACACATGGTTTCTGCAGCTGTAAAACACAGACCTTCACGTTTAACTAAACATATGCAATTTTCATGTTGTGCCTGTCTCATATCTAATACGTACCACAGGACAGATTCCCAAGTGTAACGTTTCATGTATTTTCTTTAAGCAAATTATAGTTAAAATTAAAAAGCCGTCCCCCCCGAGTGAACACTGGAGTGAATGCGGGATGTAGGAAAGCAGCAGGCTTTAATTGGTTGGTCTTAGGAGAAATATTTGAAAATCTGAAGTACAAAATCTTGTCTCTTTCCAACAGAGCTGGAGTATTTCAGCAAACTTATGTGCATTCAGCCAAGGTAAATGGCAGGTCAGGAGGCAACGGAAAAACAACTTTCCTTCCCAAGAAGCCAGAACAACTTCCTTCGTGGTACAGCGTGTGGCCGTGCAAAGAGTATAAAAACTGGGAACCGAAACCAGGGTTTCTGCTAATGAACTTTAACCTGTTGCTAATTTTTTTAATTCCTGATAAGCAGCACTGCTGCCTAGACAACGGCTCATGGGACCGTGGAGGAAACTGGCTGGGTGATGATATCATCTCATTAGCCACACTGCTTTCTGTTTTGCAGGATATTTTATTTCCTAGTTTGTTTGGGAGAGAAGTACTGGTCCAAGAAAACAGAGAGATTGATTTACTTTGGAGAAGTGCAAGTTGATTAGACTCTTCTGAGTATGGCATGTTTTTCTTACCAAATTTTGAAATCTGTCTTAAAAAGAAACATATTTCAGTGTGTGCAGGTCCTTTGTTTCTGTTTTCATAGAATCCTTCATCTGGGCTTGACTTGCAATGTGGGTAGCACCTACTGGGGTAGAATTCCTCACGAGAAGGGAGAAGGAATGAAAACATTTCAAAATCATTCTGAAAACTCGGAGGTTTAATTCTGTGGCATTTTCTCATGAGTAGAAGGAAGGTGGGAAGGCGGGATGGCAGCCAGGCAGGAAAGAAGGAAGGTAGGCAGGCAGAAAAGGCAGGCAGAAAAGGCAGGCAGGCAGGCAGGAAGGAAAAGCTTTTATTAACACAGTCTTTGCATGGTACCCTGATGGAACACTGGCTGTGATCAGAGCTATAATGAGTATCTAGTCCTTAGTCAACTTAATTGTTACACACACAGACTAGACTGCATATAATAAGGAAAACACTATCTAAAATCTGCTTTAAAAGTTATTTAACCAGAACAAATCATCTGGGAAAGTACAAATATTTCTAACTGGAAAAATGTTTCTCTATAGCTGAGCTAGGCCTGACAGCAAACCTTAATGAATTATTAGTACCTTTATTGTTTTCTTTGGCCCCTGTGCACTATATTTGTAAAAAAAGTCAGTAAAAAAGAGAACAATTGTAAAAAGCAAATATTTTGTACAAAAATACAAAGTTTTAAAAGCTCTTAAAAGTATATTCCATATTATTGATGAGTTGGACTATATATATATATTTATATAAAATCTATATATTCGTGTATCTGTATAATTTTCCTACATTTGGGATTTTAGCAAATGAAACATACTGTTTACACAGTTGCTTTGTATGTTTTTCTATACGAGTGACCAACAGTCTTACTCAGATTGACAGAATGTCTTTTCTCAGAAGACATAAGTTGCTTATGTACGTCGTTACTGGTTGGGAAGAAAATCTATAACAGAATTAGTCCAGTGGTATTTCTGGATGCTGTGGGTTGAAAGGCCTCGAATAATTGCAGGATGCTGGAGAAGAGTTGCTGCTGAATTCCTTTATGCATTTAAACCAGTTTTCAGTGCTTGCTTTTGTTTTTTTTTTTCGGTTTTGGTAAGCAATGTTGCTCCCTCCCAGGATTTTCTTCTTCTTTAAGTAAATTTCCATAATATGTAGGTATCTGTAAAGTCACAGCCTATTACACTCCAAGTATTTGCCCTACAGTATGACAGAAAAAAGAAAAACAAAGAGAAAATAAATAATGTAAAAAGCCTGCGAAGATTAAATGCATTTTCAAAAAGAAAACTTACAGAGATCAAGGTATGTTAAAAATTTATGTGGACTCATATTCAGATCCTGTAAGTCGTGGAACATAAATGTTTGTAAACCATGAAGTTTTCCTAAAATAACAAATGTATGTAGGAAAACAAGGGCAAATTACATGGTTACTTAGACACAGTCCTTCACTCTGGACACCCAAACAGAGTTACACACACGAAGCTTATTCAGCACTTTGTTTTGGTTTGTTTTAGGGGGGCATTTTTTGGGGATGGGATGTAATTTTGGCTCTAGCTGACATTTCCAGCTGCCGTGACTGAAATTCAGCGTACGTGTTTGCAACTGGAGCAGCCAGGCACCCTTGGCAAAGCAATGCTTAAACAGGTTGTATGGAGGAGATAATGTTCTGGGCAGAGCCCCGTCATGAACGCACATATCACCTAGCTCTGTGATGCTGGGGCTGCGCTTGAGCAGCCACGTGAACGACCTGCCCTCTGCCATTGCAGAAATGCTTGTATAACCAGAAAGAGATGTCCCGTGGCAATCACTTGGGTGACTCCTTGGCCACACTGGCAGTTTATGCGTCCTTCGCTCCAGCTGCAACAGATGAGGTGCTTATGGCCTGTAGACCCAGTCTCTCAGCCCTATAGGACATCTCCTGGCAGCAGTGGGAATTTTAAGACCTCCTTAGCAGTCACCAAGTGCCTCCTGTTGCATAAACTCTCAAAACAGAGTTCTTTTGGTTTTCCAAGGCTGGTCCCTGAGCCATCCTATGGCCAGCTTTCCCCCCTGCATGGCCATTGAGCCTATAAAAACAGCTTCCAGTGTAGCCAGGGTCTGGAGCACACATGCCAAATCACGTTTGAAATTTTAGGCACGTCTGAAGTCTACAGGGGATGGTCAAGATGCAGAACATGCTATGCCTACAACCAGCTTGAAGGCTACTCTTTTCTTGTGGTTAAAGAGCACAAGGGCACAAGATTTATTGCAATAAATCCAGCATTTGCATCGTGCAGAGTATTAGAAAAGCCCATGTTGGGCTGGATCTGAGTAGTAGTGCTCCAAGTGTGATTCCCCCTCTTCCTCAACAAAGCACTGCAATAGCATCTAGCCTTATGCCTAGATCTTCTCCCGTCTAGCTGTGGAAAATTTACTTGAATTTGGCCTGCTAGGGGTAGGGTGAAATAATCAAACCAAGTGCCTTGCTTACCTTTGTCCATGTCTTTTTCACAAATGAAATTGTTAACATCTTCACAGTAGAAGTCATTCCAGAGCCCAGCATAGATTAACCCAGCGCAATCTTCTCCTGGCCCGTGCCCGTGGCTCCAGTTATCAGGTTGCCCGGTTTTCCAGTTTCTTTCCACCAAGAAACAAGAGATATGATTGCACAACGCAGCACACATGACAGTTTTTCACCGCAAGAAATTAACAAAAACATCATGAGATCTGTTCTGAACGGGAAATACACGTTGAAACAAACAATACATGACTCTTGCTGAAAATGGAAAACAGATGTATTAACAGAGAAGAGAATCTATTCGGCCTCGGGCTGCCAAAACGCAGAGACCTAAAATTAGACCGATGAACTTTATTTTAGTTTCTGAATGTACAGGCACATACAGTGGGAGTGCTCCGTGCTCCATGCTCCATGTGCACTGCTGCAAGCCTGCGCGCTGCGTTCCTGCCAGCAGATGGGACTGAGAAGAGCCGGCAGGCTCATGGCTGCTACCCAGGCTGGCAGCACCCTGCCGTCGCTCTCTGCAAAGGCGCCCAAAGAGGACCGCACCTCTCCGTGCGGGCGGGCCTCTCGGGAGGCATGGCAAAGATTTATCTCTTTTACGGACCCATATTTGGATGGGAAGTGATTTTTTGGACTTACAAGGAATGTACAAAGTATATATACACACGTATCTTTTGAGATCGTTAGCTTTGATGGTGAAACTTAATGCAGCATGTAAAAAGCTTCCAGCAAGTGTTTCCTCATCCTGTTTTTGTTTCACAAGTGAGAAATGCTTCCAACCTTGGGACTTAAAAGCTCCATTTTCCTGAAGAAACAGTTTGTTGAAGGGAGCTTGTGATTGCTGGCTGATACGGTCCATGCTCAGCTAAAAAACACGCCTGCCTGACACAGAGCGTCTGACCAGGCACCTGGGAGGAGATACAGCCTTCCAGCAGTAATGAAATACTTTGAAAATCAGTAACTGACAGCTCTGAGGTTACAACAGGGCACCTAAAACCACGGTGTAGAGGAAACCTATTGAAAGCAGTGGCTGAAGTGGGAATCGGTCACAGTGCTGCCATAAAGAAAGATGAAAATGGGGCAGGAGAAAAAGGGAAAAATATTACGGCTCATTTGAAATACATCTGACTTTTTCCATGTTTCTCATCAAAATGAACACCAATGAGATCACAGCTAATCATTCCATAACATCTGACTGACTGTAGCCTGTTTTTCTGGAGCACAGCATGCTCAGCTCTATAAACTCTTTAGTCCACTCCTCAGTATTAAAAATTTGGGTGGTTGCAATCTGTTCCATTTAGGACAAATTAGGTGTAGCCCTAGGATTCCTGGAGAGCTGCCAATTCGGTTCTCAGCTGGCCAAAGCTCAGACACCCTCATTTCATTCATTTTCCTTATGTTTAATGCTTTCCACTTGGATTTGGGCTTTATCTAAAGGCTGGCCATTTTTTATCAGAACGAGCACTCTATTTATAGCCAGTTGTAATGCAAATAAGGAAAATTCAAACCAAGACAGCAAAACTGTCCGTGCTTTCCATCTCAACTTTGTAATAAAAGTCAGGAGCAAATGTTTTGGCAAGAAGCACTGTGCTATGTAGCTCTGTGATTCTTTCATTCAACATTCAGTTTTCTTCCTGGCAAGGGAAGAAAGCCTTGTGCATGGAGAAGGGAGAGAGATAAAACCAGTTCAACAGCACCCTCAGTAACGAATTATTTCACTGGCATCTACAGCTCTCTGGATCTATCGGGTAATTTCTAGATGCTGCTTTTAGAAGTGTCAGCAAGAGTGGTAGCATCTGCAGAAAATAAACACCATTGTTTTTTATTTACATACGTGTAAACTGGTAAGGATCCATCCAGCCATCTCCATTCATTTTCCTTCTCTGAATCCGTTAGTCCAATCCAGAAGCTGCCTTTCCCAAAAATCTGCCTTTTTATCCATTGCTGTGAAAGAAAGATCTTAGTCCATAACAAACACACACAAGCGTGTTTGGAGCCAATAAGCTACTCTGGTTTCATAAGCATCTTTGTTATCAGAATAGGAAGGGCCAGAGAAATTTTTCTAAGCTGCAGATATGTTTCAGGACTTGGCCTTGCGACCCCTTGCCCACACTAGAATACATCGCAGTGTTTGCATGTGAGGTAGAGAGCTAGGCATGAAAATTAGGTTGACATAAAGTCATGGCCAACGTCTTATAGATGCAAACTGAAAAAAAACCCAAAGAGTAAGCAGTTGTATCTTGACATCCCCACTGCTATGTAGCCAATAAATAATTATGTTGAACAGTAGTAAAAGTATAGCTAGATTTATAGTTCGATTAAAAATATTTTTGGGCACAGTAGTCTTAGGCTGCATGTATTAAATCAGACAATTTAAAATTAAATTATATTCACCACTGCAAAAAGTACATTTTGGATAACATTCAAGGCATAATGGACTCCATCTTTAAAGGTTCAAAACTCCTACAATTCTCGCCAGCCTTTCTGGCTGCTCTGTGCCCACCACCTTCAGGGTCAGCACCAGCTCTGCTCACACTGCCCTTCTGCACATGGAGAAGCTGCTGAGCAGGCAGAGGGTGGACAAAATGCTAACTGGAGTCAATCACTGTGTGTACTTCACTATATGAATTCACGATGCTCTCAGCTTCCCACTTGCCTTGTGGCTTCAACATGTTAAATAACTTCAAACTCTCTCCTTGAAAAACAGAAAGAGAAGGTAATTACCTGCTCCTCTTTGTTGTTTATGATAACCAAGCGTGATGCCTTCTCTTCACAGAATAACTTTGCTTCTTCGAAAATTTCTCTTTCAATTGAAAAGTAGTAGCACTTTTCTGTATAGTTCTTCCAATGAGGAGAACAACCTGTGTTGTGAATTTTTTGTGTTAAGCCAGTTACTGATAACTCAACGGGTCAGTGGTAACTTTCTGAATAGGGCCAATAATAAGCGGAGGATCCCATACTCATCTGCCACCTAAAGTACTTACATACATTTTGGGAATTTACTTATTTACTTATTAGGATCCTGACTCTGTGAAATCAAGGCTGAACTGTTTGGTCAAGGGGATTATTTATTACTCATAACTGCTGCCTTTTCTTTAGCCGTAAACATTAACTTAACTCAGTTGCAGGTCATCAGAAGGAAGACCAACAGGTATGGCTTCACTTACCGGGGCTCTGTGATAAATCCCAGAGATTTAGTCTAAGGTAGCAGAGGTTATTTGAACCAGTAACTAAGTGGTGAGCACCCTCCGCTACATATATTTGTATCTCAGTAAAAGATGCATGTAGTGTGTTGACAGCTTACCATTAGCCTCAGGCTCTGACGTAGGCTCACTTTGTAGTGCCATTGGCATCCCTGGACCTGGCGGCCCTGGTGGGCCAGGTGGGCCCTTTGGACCAGGCAGCCCAGGGACTCCAGGCAGCCCAGGCAGTCCTCGAGGTCCTGGTACCCCTGGCTCTCCCACAGTTCCTTGCAAGCCTTGAAATCCTGGTGGGCCTTGTGGCCCAGGTGGACCATCTTTGCCTTGTGGACCTGGTGGCCCTGGGTCTCCGCTTGGTCCAGGCAGACCCGTCTTGCCAGGAGAACCTCTCTGACCTTTGGAGCCAGGCGATCCTCTTGAACCTTTCCCTCCTTTTTCTCCTGGTGGCCCAGTTGGCCCAGGTGGGCCCTTTTCACCTGCAGGTCCTGGTGGTCCGGGCTCTCCTTTCTCTCCTTTTTGTCCTTTTAGGCCAGCGGGGCCAAGAGGACCTTGAGGACCTCTGTCACCTTTAGGTCCCCTTGGACCAGGAGGGCCTGAAACAATGGAAGCATGCAAAGTGGGGATACGGACAGAAAACAAAACAAAAAGCCCACATGGGGTCTTTGTTTAATACATCTCAGACCAGCAACACTGGATATTCAGCACTGTGAAAAACAGGCTAACAGCTACTTTGAGCAGTGCTTGTAAAAGTATGTCTGCTTCTCAGGCACTATATACCATTGCTCTTTCCTCAGCCTCCATGAAATACAGGATACAGAAGAAAATAATCTAATGCAGCTTGTCCTGTGAACTGGACAGTGACACCATGCCCCAGGTGACCAGCCGAGGCGCCAGTCCCTGCAAGACACACTCTGTGCTGTTGATGCACGCAGTCCTGCGTGTTGATGCCCCCATTCCCTCACTCTGCTACGCTCCCTTTTCCTTCTAGCCCCATCTCTCCACTCTTAGACTACAGGACTCTTTCTCCTGCAATGACTCTGTTTGCTGCTCTGTCAATAATGGGTTGTCAAAAAGAGACAAAATGATGGAGAGCGAGCAATAGGCCAACTGTGGGAAAGACCAGAATTACTAGTTGCTAACTGGCCGGCTGCAACAGGAAAGAGAACAATACTCACGATAGGAAATGGCAATATTGTGACAGCAATAAACAACAAAATAATTTTGGATTCTGATCATGGAGGAGCAGATGCCTTGCCAATACCTCCTCCCCCACCAACCTACATCATTTAAACTCCTCCAGAGATAAATTCCTAAACTGGAGTCATTTAGGCCTGGTTGAAATGAGAAAGGTTAAGGTTACTGACATGTAATCTTGGCTCTACTTCAGCCTTAGTTTATTTGGAGCAATGGATTTATATTTGTGATTAGAGTTTTAGGCCTGACTGGTTCACATCAGGTTGGAAATATGAGTGTTCTTTTCATTTGGGATAATACTTGGCTGGGAGAAACCTCCTAAACTTGATGCTGTTTATTTCTGGAGAAAATAAAATATCCCAGGATTAAAAACTAAGCAAAGTAGGATGTTTTCTGGCAGACTAACAACTGGCTTAAAGTGAAATAGCAACTTGTTTTTCAGTAAGGGTGGACCTTTCTGGGAATAGTCCAACGTATATTTTTTAGCCATTTCCTCCTTAGCAGAGATTGGTTTCTTGAGGTTCCACACCTTCGCTAGCTTATTTTAGAAACTAAATCAAAAGCAGATCCAGTCAGTCAGTCACTCTGAAAAAAATTTTGCTAAGTCAGAACCTTCTTTCATAACATCCCCATTCTAGGTATGTAGAGAAGGCATAGGAAAATTAGGAAGAAATATTCAAGATACATTTACATTTCCAAAGCTTAGGATTAGATAATGGAAAACTCTGTACCAGCATGCACTAACTAACTTCCACAGAACTAAAGAAGTAATGCAAGCAGGAATTCAGCATAGACCATTATGGGTATCATTAGAGAAGCTGCGTACCTTGTAGGATGGTGAAGTTCTTGATGAGCTGGCCATGTTTGGAATCTACCAGCTTCATTTCTTCCATGATTACCGACAAATTGGCAACTTCAACATCTAACCTTGACCTCATCAAATCCTGTTGCATCTTGAGAGATGCAGAGTCTAAGCGAATATTGGCTAGTGTGCTGTTCATAAAAATCAGCTCATCTGAATGTTTACTTAAGGTGTCTGTACAAGTTGTCCTGACCTCATTGAGATTGCTAGTCAGTGTCCGTAGATGATGAGCAGTGTAGCTGATGTTGCTAATGATATTGACTATATCGGTTTCGAAGACCTGGAACCTCTCTTCTAGCTGGTTGAATTTGGAAGAAGTTCTGTTTTCATATTCTTTATGCTGTTCCTGGAGATCCTTTAGATTTTGTTCATTGGCTTGGGCAATTGTGGTGATATTCTCCATTTGCCCACTGAAGGAGCTGAGCTGATTGTTCATGTCTTCAAGTGTATCATTGTTAGCTTTTGCCAGTGCTGAGTTGTTGGCGGCCAAAGTCTGTAAATTTTGTACTTTCTCCTTAAGCCAGTCGGTGTCCTTCCGGGCTTGAAGGACAACCTGCTGCAGATTTTGAAAGTCATTCTTGATCCGTAGAATAGCCAAGCTTGTATCTTCCATTGACTTCTGCAGGACACTGATAAGATTTCTTTGCTGTATTTGTGTCAGGTTTAAGTTGTTCAGGTTCATGATGACCACATTATGAGAATGCACTTGGTTTTGCAAGTTTGTTTGAATATTACTTGTGTCTTGTTGAAGATTGTTGATATAGCCAGTATATGCCTGAAGAGTCTTATTGACACTGATGATCATGAAAGAGTTACTATCTAAGGCACTTCTCATTTGGCTCTGTCTGTCATCTAATACATTTCCAGACTCTTGCAGCTTCTCCAGTGTATCTTTGTTTCTGGTAGTTTTCTCTGCAATGTCATGAAGCTGCTGACGAAGAGCCAGAATGTCAGATCTGAAGCTAGACAGTTCAGTGTTGGTATTCATGGCTTTTTGTCCAGCTTGGTCATCTGTTGTACAGGAAAAAAAATTGAAAGGCTTTAGGATGAGTATTTTAAAACACAGTATAAAAAAGCACAGTCTATTTTAAGTACAGTCAGGTTGTCAAAATGTTCTGTCAATAGAACTTCTATGCTATCTATTCCAGAAAAGAGAAACCACTAAGGAAAGTTCTGCCACTAGACAGAGAAAAAAAAAATCAAAGAGATGAAGACCTTGTGTCTTGCTGAGGAGGACAAAATGATGATTCTGTTGTCATATACAGGAAAAACTACCATTAGAAACTTATGAATATATGCAGTCAAGTAGTGCTAGTATTCTCAGTGAAAACTGAATGGTAAGCAGAATTCAAAATATTAAAGAGGTATCAGTAAGTTTATGTTTTGAAGGTACAACTGGCTATTGCCAAAAGCTCAGAGGTACATTTTAGCTGTTCATATTTTCTTCCTCCTTTTCCTGGCAGGTGGAATATCTTCATTGTGATTTAGTACATATCGTTTCATTTTTTAAAATCTTGGGTTTAATTTTAAAAAAGTTCTAATAGCTATTTTAAAACAATCTGGGTTAGAGACAAAAGCTTTGCCAGCAGGCTACTCCAGATATAACAGGATATGATATATTTCTGGTTTTCTCTCTAACGTACTACTATTGCTTTTAATGACGTTTATTTTGCTGTTATTGTTTCCTCATGTTCTGAGTTTCAGGAAAGCAAAACCTTTAATCTTAGAGGAACATCTCTGCTCCTGCTTACACTGCACTACAGTATACTTCTGGGAGCCTGTCTGAGCATGATTAACCTTTTGAGGCTGCACAGCTCATCAGCCAGGACATAGAAACCAAGGAAATAAACAGTCAACACCCACTTTCAGGGAAGATTCCCTTGCTTGACCTCAGTCATTCCCTCTCCTACACACAGTCCATATATTTTGTCTTCATTTAAGTGTAGCTATATTTATGAATTATGCAGTCTGAAGTCCATCATTTCAGATGACTCCAAGAGAGGGCAGAATGTTTTTTCATAAACTACACTGAATACAGCTGTGTATGGAGCTTTCTTCTGGGATGTCTGAATGAGTCACGATGGCAAACATCAAATGGCGGTTTGTGACCCTTCAGTCTGAAGTGTTTACGGAGTCTTTCGTCGATGGGCATCTTCTCGAGCACAGCTCCTCTCCCTGCTACTTGTCTCACTCCAGGATCTTCTCAGCTCTGACTCTGCGTTTACCTCTCGGTTATAGCTCAAATTGTATTGTGTTCCTCACACAGCTCTGACAACTGCCAGGTCTACATACAGCTAATCTCTGAAGGCCTCTCTTTCATTCACCACATGCCGTTATCCTTCTGGCCCTACAGCAGTTCTCTTACCTTTATGCTTCCCACACACATTGCCCCATAACTTTTTTAACTTCTTCCATGGTAAGTCCACTTAAATGGGAACTGATGGTCCTGAGCGTCTCACTGGCCATCCATCCAGCAGCATGTAAAAATGTGTGGGCATGAATGAATCAAAGGTGCTCCCAGTTGCGAACATTTAATCAGCATGATATAATAACTCAAATATAGCCCAAAAGTTTGCATGTGCTTTAAGGTGTAACATTTACTTCTGTATATGTATCAGAAAAAGCCCCTGCCACTGAATTACCCCCTGTCTTTGAACTAAATGCAGTGCGCAAACATTTCAGAATCCAGCTATTTTTTGAGGGGAAAAAGTAGTAAAAATTTATGATCAAGCTGCAAGCAAGTAATTTTTCCTAGAAATACACATCTCAATATATGGTTTATGAAGCTAAACAAAATTTATTTCAAGAGGCACATGCATGTATGTGTATATCAATATTTATGTAAAAAATAATTATATAAACTATAAGTCTATGTATATATAAATTGATAATAAACAGCTCTGCTTCCTTTCCAGACAAGGAAGAAAGGTAGAAATGTGCACTTCGTGAGTAAAATCCTTATCCATGATCTTTTTCCATCTTCCTGCAAATTGAGAGACGTGGGAGACCTGAACTTGTTAACAACCTTGGGTCCTGTATTCCCTGAGATGATTAAGAAACATTTTATGGAAGTAATCAGCTTGCCTCAGACATAAGAGTTTTGAACAGCTGATTATTTGTGCACCCCTTAAAATGGCCTTCGGTTTTGAACCTTAATTCCTAAAACAGCATCAAGATGACTGGGTGACAGATTTTCATTTTATGTAGAATCTCTTGTGCTGTGGAACAGCTTCTGCTATGTTTTACATCTCTACCTCAGAGAAAACTCTGTCCTGAGGACAACCTTTAAGTGTCTGTTTATTTTAGTATAAATGGTTTCAGAGTGACTTCAGGGGGAACTGTAAATATTGAAGTATGCTTAAAATGCTGTCCTAAGTAGAGCTGATCTTAACTATTTTTAATTGCTTTCGCAAGTACTTGAGAAATTGGAATAGAAGTGCTGTATCTTGTCATAGCCAGAGATTTTTCAGACAAATTTCCTGCCGCTATCTGCCAGGAGGACACCCCAAAACCATAATACAAAGGGGCTTTGCTTGTGTGTAATTACCTAATTTCTTCAGACCACTCTCCACCTCTGTGAGCTTTTCTGTGTATCTTCTGTGGGACGTTTCCAGGCCACCTGTCACATTGTCCATTTTTTCTACAACTAGGGGAAAGAGAACAGTATGTTATGGAAAGAAGAAAAGTGAAATTATAAAAAAAGTCTCGTAAACAATAAAGCAAACCAAAAAAACCCACCACTACCATCAAACAAAAAAAGAAACCACCTTAAGATTGCCTTGCTTGCCACTACACTCTGCTGTTGCTCTGTGAAATGTTGGAAGGATGAGCTCCTATCTGCTGGTGGGACCCAGCATTCTTCCAGTTCTTCAGTCTGCCAACATTCCCCAAACATTTCTTTGCTCATGAGCAATCTCTCTCCTGAATGAGGAAATCCCTCTTTGTGGGTTTTCCTCATGAACCAAGTCCTTTTCTTTTAACAGTATTTCCATGCTCCAAGCACAGTGCTGTGTGGCAAAGGCAGACTGATTGCTAAAGGCTCAGACACATGAGAGAAGACTTCCTTTTATTTTGCTATGAGCCATTTCTCCTTAAGAAGAACACTTTTTTTTTCCCTGTGCCTTTTAATCGTTAAAAATTGCCACCCGGGTAGCAAACTTCCGACTGAGATAACAGTTTGAAGATGCAATTACTGAATGTTTTGGGGATTGACTTTTAAACATCTTGGTAATGGTACAGATCACTCAAAATGGTCTTGAAACCATTCTGCCTCATCAAGATTGAAAGGATGGTCATTCAGGAATTGGAGATTTATGGCTGATGTGCTCTTTATTTTGTAATGTCTGAGGCATTTTCTTGTCACTGAGACAATCTGATTAGTTGATGGAATTGATATGGAAACAGAAAAAGCAGAGCAACAAATAAAGAGCCTGGGGTAGCTTCCAGTGGCAAAAATGTGAAACGCTTGCAAGGTCAGAGGCAGCCTTCAGCTTCCACACCAAACCTTGTCTAATAGGTTTTTGCATTCAAGTGACAACCAGGGGCAGAAATTTCATCTCATCACAAGATTATTTAGCCCTTTTGCTACACTGGGAGCAGGATGGATCTGAACCAATCCTGGGAGAGACTACATGAGTTATTGTGCCAGCTCCCTCTTTCAAACAGAAGAAATAAGGTGCTTCCCATGTCTTGAGATAGTGAAGCCAGTTCTGTAAACCTGTGTGGGGTAGGGGGTACCACTAACTCTTTCTGTCTGTGAAATAATCTGCAGCTAGGAAATAGCCTCATAGAAGTTGTTGCTATGTAAAGATGTTTTTTTACTAGAAGTGGAAATTTTAGGGTTCTTTTGCTGTTCATGAGTAACAACAAGAATCCCAGACCTTTAAAGTGTAGTCCACCAAGTGCTCCTTTATTAACTTTTGCCCTTGTTTTTCTGACTCTGGGTACCATAGTTACACAGCAGGCTTTTATTGCTTCCCCAAAACCAACAGGAGAAAAAGCAGACCAAGATTATCCCTGGTGCAACTGCACTGAGGTGAATGGAGTTGCAACAGAGAAAAAGTCTCAAGGTTTTCAGAGAGACCAGACACCCTTTGGTGAATTACCTGCCTGCTCCTTTCTATACTGCTAACAAGCCAGTAAAACAGAGACTCTACTGTGTGTGCAAAGATAGAGTCAGTGTGGCTTTCTGTATTGGAGATGATGGCAAATTGCTTGCTAAGCACCAGATCCAGGCTACAATAATGGCTTTGCTTTTTCAGGGGGACCATTGCTCAATACCTTCTGTTTTAGAAAGCATTTTTCCCCTCCAATATAGCACTAATTTTTCACTGGGTCTTCTGCTCATTAAAGTTACTTGTCAAAATGCTGTATGCCATTTTTCCTAAATGAAGCCAGAGCTGATTCTCTGTTTGTCCTGCCCAACTGTCTTCCAGGCTGGAGCCCAGATGAGGAAGGACCCTTCAGTCACTTCTGACACTCCACTGATGCATGTATACACCTATGCATCACATGCAGTCAGCGTGAGGACCATACTTGGTTGTTCCTTCTGGCTAGCTCTAGGCAGCTCCTTGTTCAGTCTGTGGTGTTCTGCCTTGTTTATGGATAGTCACTGTGAAGGACATGGCTCACTCTGGGCACTTAGGACCTCATGAAAGCATCTGGATTTAAAAAGCAGGCCTACTCCAAGTGTTTCTGGTGGACCTGTGCCTTGACTAGCAATGTCACATCACCTATGGGTCTTGTTAATTCAGATTTAGTGTAATATTCACCTGTTTTCTCCAGTCATGCAATACACTGGCAAATGAATATATATTATCAATAATGAAAGGAAAATGTAGTTTCTTCCTTTTGGTGTTCAAATGAATGCCTGTTTGTACTTCAGATCTGAAGTCTGTAAAACTGAGATTTTATACTGTCCTATAGCAACAAGAATGTTTTCATTCTTGGTTGGTCAAGGACTGACCAGGGAATGAGAAATTCAAGCTGAGAGCATGCTAGCTCCCCTCACTGGAGTGAGTCACAGGAAGATCATTCACCTCCAGTAGGCCAATTCAACACTGGCTGGTGCCAGAAAAATTATAACTTTGTATTTTGCATTTAATTTAAGAAAGCATGTGTAAAAAATTACAGATTGCTTTATTAATGTTTTTAACAATAATTTAATGTCCCCTCAAAGCAAACTAATAGTAAACCCGGCCTGTTATTCCTTAATGACCTTGATGTTTAATTCATGTTTTGGTTTCAGGTTCCTCCAAACTACTATGTAATTTTTACCACCAGTTTGGAGGTTTGTTCTATGTTGACTTTGCCTCCCATTGAGTTATTTTTTTGCCTGCCATATTTAATCCACTGATTAGTAGTTTTTACGTCTTAAATCACAAAGGATATCTAAATACCATGTAGGAAATGAAAGTTTTAAAAGTAGTTTTGGGCTTTATAAACATAAGTGTGGGAGGCAAATTTAACAGAAACTTAGCTAAGAGACTGAAAGAATCCCTGATGCCAGCAGAATTCCTTCTTTCAGTGTAATATTGCAATAAAAAAGACAAGTCAAACTCTGATGCAGAGAGGAGAGTTCAAGAGCTCTATAAAATTTTATTTTGAGTTTTGTTCTTCCTTTAAGGTCTAATACCTTCCCAACTATCAATAATATTGCAATAATTCCTTTGAATATGTACCAACAGCTGGGGTTTTGTCTAACTCATGTTTTCCCTGCAAATTACTGCTTAAGCACTGTGGAGATGAAGCTCTTAAGCTGCAGGTACAAAGGGTGAAATTAATGCCTGACATATGACCGTTTGCTGCTTGGCGTTACAGACAGGATACCTTGGACTAAAAACGACTTTTCTCCAGTGTCTGCCTCCTTCTCTTGGCATTCAGGTGGAGCAGTCACCAAGTCGATGAGCAGTGGAGCAGTGCTCACCACAATGTCTTAAGGTCTGTGAGCAAGATGTGCATTATCCACCTTCCTATAATCTTTTTCCCATTTTTCTGTGGGAGAGGAAATTCTTTTGCCCTTGCCCTGGATAGATGTGGCTTGGTACTGCTATGACAGAACGACTAGTCCCCAGTCAGGCACCAATGACTACTCAGTACAAGAAGGAGGTTTAGAAATGAGTGTAGCAAAGATGGGGCCTCAAGATGAGAGCAAAGCCTGGGGAAAGGATGGTGCTAGAGGCCCCCATGGAGAAAGAAGCTTGAAAATTGTGGGTTGAAATGAGGAAGAGAAACTCCCTCTCCCAAAGAGATCTTTTGGACCGTTTCCTTATTGCTATTGCTTCCTACACAAACACAAACAAACGTTTGCCAAAGCAAGATACAGAGCAATGGTCCCTCCAACTTGATATGCTGTTTCTGGTGCCAAGTGAGGTCTGAGTCTTCTGGTGAACCCCACAACTAACAGCCTTGTATAAAACTCTCTTGAGGAAAATCCTGCTAAATCGCAGGCATTTAGTGGCTGGGTTATAGCCCAGAAGGATCCCATCCTCATCTGCTCTAAGCAGATCTCTGCAGATTTATATCTGCCAAAGGCCTAAGTTTGTCCTCCCCTAGTCCATATAACCAAATGATCTTATTTTTATAGAACAAGAACAAGTTTTTGAATCCTGGAAAGTTCTTTTTCCTCAGAATCTGACTTCCAGAGACCAGATACATATTCTTCAGGAGAATGTCTGACCAATTATATATGTACTGCATTTCTTTACATTTGATTTTAATTTGCCACATTCCATCTGCTTTATCATGAAAAAGGAATACCTACATGTCTCTATCTGTCCTTCACATTCTCTCATCTCTAAATCTGCCATCTAAACCAAGCAGTTTTAATTTTCTTCCCACTCAAAACTGTACCAAATCCTCTTAAATAAGTATTTATCCCTTTCTATTTCTACAATTTCCTTTTCTTCCTCTGGCGAAGGACCAGAGATGATGTCAGCTCTGCTACGAGCGCAGCTGTTGGCGGCACAGGATGCACTGCATGCTAATCGCATGAATATTTACCCAGCTTCTCGGAGGGGGTTTGAAGCTACTCTCAGAGCCATACTCAAGCAGCTAGTTTAAAGCTAGCTTGGTTTTCTCTGCAATATGCTGCGATGTCCTGTTATAATACTCACAATGATGTTATTCACTTTCTTTTTCTTACCAGAAACTCACGTGTTATTTATTTAACTTATTATAGCTGTGACTGCACAACATTTACATCAATACATTCATAAGAATGCCTAAGTGGTTACAGTTAATTAGTGCTGAGGATATATGGGAATTTTAAGCGGTGTTTTCCAATGTGCCCTACCGATGACTTGCACAAGAGAAATTTTCTCCATTACTGGGTTGCCCAACTACCAGAATCTTTGAAATTATTGTCAAAAGCCTCTAAGCGTCTTTATTCATCAAAATAATTGTAGATAACTCAATACATTGGCACGTCCTGGTTCAACCTTTCTTCCAGATATTTCAAAGGAATATTGATCCCACACTTTGTTCCTATGATAAATATTATATTAGTAAGACTATTCCTGGCTCTCCCATATAAGGACATTTATTCTGGAAAGGTGTGATATATGTAAAAGAGCTCAGTGAAATCAAGGTATAGCACATGTTTTAGGGCTTTGAGTCTTCCAGTTAGTACTCCTTCATGGTGGGAGAATGATCATTTTGTTCTAACTTTTTTCTTTTCTTTCAAATGTCTAATCTAGTTTCAAAACTTCATAATTGTTTGAAAGTGAAAATCTAAGGTTGCATTTTGTTGTCATGTGTGTACAAAAAGCCAACATTGCCAAGGTATTGATATTTAAGGTGAAATGTGATAAATGGCCTCTCTATCTAATATGTGGAAATGCGCTTGGATGCTTGGCTGAAAGTGAAGTGTTGGGCTCGATGCGTACATACCTTTGTATCCCAGGATGGCTACTGTGATTGTTAACAGGGCACATAAAATATATAGTAAGATGATGGAAAACTTCAGTGCCCAGTTATTTTTACATTTGGTACATTGAGTCCCCTCCTGAATACCTGCAAAAGAAGATTTTAAGAATTTTAAAACAACAGCAGAGAACACATTGCTGGTTTTATCTCCCCATTTCCTCTCCTCCATTTTGTGAAGAACAAATTATTTATGTAAGCAGATGATATATGGGTGCCTATCTGCCTATTCTGCCAGGATAGCCTCCACGGCGGTTAAAGCATCAGCTTAGTGATACAATCACTTTGGGATTTTAGCATGTGGAAGAGAAGTAGGTTCTGCTTCAGTGGAAAACCTGTGGCTTTCCTGAGAGACACAACTATTTTCCAATTGGGCTCACACCACTATGGTGAGCTTTGGAAGTCAAACGTTCCTCAGCATCTCCTCTGTCAGGCATAATGCCACAGCAGCTCTTTCTTAGCATTCAGTCTCCCTACAAGGGCAATAGGAGACAGTAAATGCTCCGGCAGAAGGAAAATACAGAAATAAAATAGCATTGTGAAAACCCGGTAGGAGTACTGGTCCTGCTTAGTAACCATTACCACAAATGGTTACCATGTGAACACTTTCTTTCCATAATAAGAGAGACTTTTTTTCTTATTTTTGGGGGGTTTGGAGAATACTGTTTCCACAGAAAAGAAGGGGTGCTATACTGGTAAAGCTAGCGGTACATCTATACCAACAGAAAGATGCTGGTGAATTTCCCCTTGTGGACAAGTTTAAGAAAAAGGGCTGCAAGTTAATGAGAGAAAACAGGCCTTTACTATTTTAGATTTGAGCTTTTTGCAGAGTTGTTTGATGTCTTTGAGTCTATTAAGGAAGCAATATTCCTCTTTTCTCTACGTGCTCCTTGGGAACAGTTCAAGAGGGTTGGAAGCATTGATTAAGTTACCAAGAAATTAATCAGAAAACACAAACGTGTAAAAACATGAAAACCGGACCGCTGTGCTGGAACGAATGGGTGGGATTTATGCCTCCTTCCGATGTGCATTAAGCAGGCCAGAATTAATGTAGCTTTCTGCTACATTTCTTTGATATTTTACTTTATTTGTGTACTATTAGGGGAGTCCCACAGGAAAGCTTTAAGCTCTAATAAATTCTATGTACCAGATTACTTAACTAATCAAAACTTGCTCCATAGCTTTTTATGAGTAACTTATATTTCCCCCAAGGCCTAACCCACAGCTGATTTTACTTTTCCCAAATCATGACCTTCTGCAGAGCAGTTTTTTATTTTTCATTTTTTAAGAGAAAAGCACGGGCCACTTCCCCTGGGTTCACGGAGGACGGGTGACCAATATATCAAGTTAAGTCAACTGTATTTCCCTCTCAACGACCAGCAGTTTGCAGTGACTTCCTGAAGCCCAGGGTACTTGAAGGAGGCATTACCATATTGGAGCAACTTGGGAAGAGGACTTATACCAAGTTTATTTGACAAGGCATTTTTCTCAATTGCTTCTGCACATATGCATAGCCCGTTTATTGGTGACTTGGATTTGGAAGGCTGATAACTTCTGCACCACAAAAGAAAAGATGAAGGGTCAATAATACAATAGCCAGGTTTGCTTGCGGATCCTCATGTGTGGGCTGGTTTTCTTTGGTTGGTTGACAGTCTCAAGGAGTTTGCTAGTGGGGAAGCTCTGCTTGCTGAAAAAGCTGGAGAGGGAAAGTGCAGTTTTCTAAGGGTTTGCAGTAGGTATTCAGAGGCTGAAATTATTCCACAGTGCGAACTCGTGGTGTCTGGAGCACCATTTTGCTGCTGTTAGCTGGTAGTAATGGGCTCATTGAGCCCCTGTGCGCTGAATGCAAGGGTCTTCCTCCAAAGGGCTTAAAATTCAGATTCCAATCCTGTAAGTCTTTGAACATCCCACATATCAAAAAACACGAGAATCTTGGGGCACAAAGCACATCGCATTCACCTTCTAAATACACAGATAACAGAAAGCTTGATCTTCCCTATTTTAACGTTAATGGAAGCAGGACCAGATCCATAACTGGGAAGACTGATAGACTGCAGAGGTACAAAGCACAGAGAAAGGCAGAAATAAAAACAAAACCTTTGACAGCAACTGTGCATAGATGTTTCACTTGATTACAGTCTCATATTAAGATTACTCATTTTATGACATGACCTGCTTTTTGTCACTGTACTCCAGCTTCCTGTGTAGTGTAATGAGCTGAAACTTTGCTGATGTCACTGGATGTATTGCAGGTCAGCATCTAGCATCATGTATTTTCCAGCGCTTCATAAGGATCTTGTTTCACTTGTCTCAGTCCTCTCTATTGCTGGTGCCATAAAACAGGACTTTGGCTTTTTGGAACTTTTACTTTCAGCGTGTTTCCAACTGACATCAGAACAGCACCCCAACAAAAGCCAGACCTTTCTATCCTTTAACAGTCCAGCACTGTTGGTATCAATAACATAAACACAGCGTCCTAAAGCGATCATACAGGCAGGAGTGATTCCATTAACTAAGCTGGGCTGGGACTGTGTATTGCATTGCCTGCTGGCACTTTCTGCCTGTCAGCTTAAAACTGCATCTGACTGCCATCGAATCCCTGCTGTCCTCATCTAATGTGCCCCAGGTCCAGGGCTGGAGTAAAATGCCATGGAGCTCTAACAGGCTCCTTTGTTTTCCTTTGCCTAGAGGTGGACACAGTAAAGTCTTTCAGAGCTATTAAATTCACTCTTTATTGCAAATACAGAGCTCTTAACTCTGTTGCTAGTAACAGCTGACTTTCTAGTTTACTAGCCATACAAAAATTACTAAAGATAGAGGTATCTGGAAGACTCATTCTGATGTCTTTTTATGCAGTTAAATAATGCAGGCTATGAGCAAAGGTAAAAGCCAGGAATGCAACCCTCTCTGTATAGAGATGAATTACAGTGTAATCAGGGCTCCACAACCTCCCCAAGCACAGACCCTGCCTTCAACTTGCCCTGTTGCTCTTCCCCACTACCCTGTTTAAGGACCAAGCTCAAATAAGCTCCTTCTGATACAGGAGATGCATTTAGTCCGTGGTGTGAGGACACTTATTTTTACTGAAGGGTTGCTCTGAGAAGATGTGATAGCCAAAACATGAAGCAACAACAGGTGGGAGACTATTTCAAATGCTCATTGTGATTACACAAAACCCAGTAGGTTGGCATAAAATTATACAGGTTTAGCACAAAAGCTGAGAGTCAACGCTTGAAGGGGCTCTTGCTTGGGCTTTAACTTGACAAAACTTCCCCACTTTTACCCACTCAGCTACCTGCTTTCATGGCTTACACAAAATGCAGTGTTCTTCCAGGAGATGTGTAACCTCTTATTTAGAAAGCTGTAAACATACAGGGAAAGACCCTACGCACCCATTCCGTCGATAGGACATATGTAAAACCTGCAAAAGGGGGTCCTCGGCTGAAGTCAGCTCTTCTCCGTTTGTTATTGTTGCTCCTAGTGCAGCACACTCCTCTCTGTGTCCTGTACACGTGTTTTCAATGTTGGTCTGCTCCCAGACTTTTGTCACTAACTTCCAAACCCAGGGAGCCAGGATCACTTCCGCATGATGTGCATTTCTCACTCCTGATTTGATCAACATTTAATAAATATCAGATGGGACACAATGTGCCTCATTTCACTGGACACATGCTTTTTTCCATTCCTTTCCCCAACTTATTAAAATAAGAGCTCTGGTTTTTCTGCCTCACTGTTGGGAAGACATCTGGCCAAACAGACAGCGACCTAGTACAAAGAGATCCTGCTGGCTCACATGCTTTGGGGACCCCCTTCTCTGCAAACCAAGATGGTCACAAAAAAATATGCAAGTGAGACATCCCCCTGTTACCAGGCTTTGTAGTATTTGTTTTTCTAGCATTGCATTCCAGTGACTGAAGACTTTGTTCTCACGCAGGGGGTATACATCTGCAGATTCCTTTTGGGCTCCAGATAAACAGAGGTTTTGCTGGAGGCGGAGCTGGGTTTTTTGGTTGGGTTTTGTTGTTGTTGTTGTTGTTGTTGTTCTGTGTTTTTTAATGGGAGACTAAATATCTTTGCTCTTTGACATGGACTAAGCACCTTACAAAATGCCTCACTCCTCAACTATATTCTGCTTCAGGAGCACATCTTTGAACACTCAAATATGATTGCACACACAGTTTTTTGATGACTAATTCTTTTAGAAGTATTTGCCTCTGTGTCCTTTTCTTGGCTCTTGCTGCAGGATCATAGGTGGCCTCAATATTTCTGCTAGCAGATCAGTTTTGACAAAGATGCAGGGTTCCCTTCGTAACCCTGACAAAAAATGTGCTGATAAAATGATTGAAGAAATGTAGCGCAGGAAATGGAAATACATACATTAGTTAGGAGGGGTTTTCCCCAGTGTGATTCATTGAAAAGAGATAACATCCCTTGAATTTTGGAAGGAAGACTGCAAGCCTAGTTTGCAGCCTTCAAATGATAAATTTCTCAAAGCTAATGTTTTCAAAACTGATGAGCAGTAAATATAATAGCTATATTTAAAGGGGCCTGGGCAAACTACGTACATCTAGTTCCAACTCCCCTGCCATGGGAAGGTATCCCTGCCCATGCCAAGGGGGTTGGAACTAGAAGGTCTTTAAGGTTCCTTCCAACCCAAACAATTCTATAATTCTATGATTCAATGATTCAACACGTAGGTAGGAATCAAATATTGACAGGTACCTAACCATGCAGAGTTGCAACAAGGTGCCAGGGGGTGCCTATCGCACTAGCAAAAGTAGATGGTCCCATGAGGAATCCATCTCTGGGTTTAAACAACTAAATGCCTTGAAAAACGTGGCTGTAAGTGCTTAAATTCAGGCACGCAAGTGTAGAATGGTAGGTTTTTACTAATATGCATAACTAGCTATTAGGAAAGTAAGTTTGTCTCTTAGGACAGAGAGGATTTTAAAATTCAGGCATATAAGTGTGTACATATATACACATACATATATACACATACACACATATTTATGTTCAAATATATAGAAAAATATATGTGTGTATATGTTTTTTACAGAGAAGCTTTTGTACTGACACAAACCCAGTGT